GGAACCAAGATCTTTGGGTTATAAACACGTATTTCAAGTTTCATCAAAATCGGATCAAAATTGTGGCCATAATTCAAGAAGTTACGATCCGATATGCGCGAATATCGACAGGAACCAAGATATTTGGGTTATAACTTATAAACATGTATTTCACGTTTCATCAAAATCAGATGAAAATTGTGATCTCTATACGTACTCTTATAATTACACCCTTTTCTGCTCCAGTCAACTTTTTGTTCATGGTTCTAAAATTCAACCTTAGCTTTAGACTGCTAATATGTATACATCGTTGTTTCGCATTTTCACCTAGATGTTTCACAGAAGAACAATAAAAGCATTCCATTATATTTTTAACAGAAAAAAAAGGTGTTATACATGCAATCAAATACAAATATATAGAAGAATAAATTTTAAGTCAGCCATGTTTATTTCCCAAAGGTATAGAATATTCAGATTGATGTGTTTCACAGGTATTGACATAATCCATGAATAAATACATTATTTCCATTTGAAATTGTCATTAGTTTTTTTAATGGGTTTATTCTGAATTTAAATGCCAAAGCTCCGATAATCTCTGTGGAATTGTCTGCAGACTATTTATAGCAATAGGTTTACAAATTCACTATATGCCACTTTTGCACTAGCCATAATGCCATATATAGGTATGTCAACACTAAGACTTGGTTCAAATTTGCAGCGTTGGGGTTAACAGGTTGGTGTATTTGTTAGTAAGGTATGAAGTGATACAGAGGGATGGTACACAGAGAACTCTTTCTTGGCAAATTGAGCTCGGCATGGGGGTCCTATAATTTTCTAACAGATTATATAGCAATATCGGATGGCACCAATTGCTTACTCCCACACGTTCAAACAAGTGCATTTTAAAGATTAAAGAACAATTAAACTTCCTGGAATAATACTTTAAGATGCAAATATTTAAATGTTAGGACGAAAACAACCAACTGATATCTTCCTTATTTTAGTGTCACAGTGAATAGCAGTTATTATTAGGAACATGGGTTCTAATTGGACTTAAAAAAGGAAACATCCAAGATACATTTCACAGAATTTATTAGGTTAATTCGGTGTGGAATATTTTCAAAAAAATACCAACATCGAATTGCCAGAAGTGGGGCATCTAAGTGTTAAAAAGTCTTTTAAATCTGAATACAAGCACTAAAATTTGCATGGGTGTCCGCTTACGGTCATTGTTAAAGAATATCCCGTTAGTCACTTGGCTGCCATTTTCGGCTTTTCTTTCACAAAATTTCAATACTTTACAGATTGAGAGGATTTCTTTACGTCCACATTTTACTGTGGACGTATAATTAGTAATTGATATAATTATGATATTTTGTTGTATATGCATATAGTCTTAAAAATGTATTACAACAGGCAGAGCTATAGCCGTTATTTTTATTAATGATTCTTTTCTGGATATTCAAATTGCTAACTGTTCCGCATCTAATAGTTCACCACTCTCTATAATTATTTATGAAGTAAGATGTCCGTTTAAATACGCCTTGTAGAAAGATTGGTACTAAATCCATTTAAAATATCTAGCGTTTTAAGAGTTTACATTGCTGTATAATCTTAAGTGCAGAAGAACCGCATAACAATCAACTCGAACCCTAGAATACAAACCCACGGACAAGACACATCACACACATACACCAAAACACGGACATGTAAATATTAGGTAATAAAAGTAATTGGCACCTAATGATATAAGGTACGTAAAAATCCACCAACGTGCAGTCTGATTAAAATACAGATCTATATTTCGTTTCGTTTTTTTATGCTTTCGATGGCCTACACTACATAAAAATCGAACCCTAGAATACAAACCTACGGACAAGACACATCACACACTAAAACACGGACATGTAAGTATTAGGTAATAAAAGTAATTGGCACCTAATGATATAAGGTTTCGCCCAAAATGAACGTAAAAATAAATCCTACCAACGTGCAATCTGATTAAAATAGAGATCTATATTTCGTTTCGTTTTTTTTATACTTTCGATGGCCTACACTACATAAAAATCTGACCGGTTGTAGCGATAGGTTGCGTCAGAGGTCATACGAGCGGCTTTTCACCCTATGACGTCAGACATTTGATTAACCAATCAGTATTGATGTTACTAGTGGATTACCCACAGTTCCGTACAAAACACACCTAAAGCTCGTCGTAACAGGCCGTTTCATTGGCTAATCCCTCACACCATTCAGAACACGTCAATGATAACAACTCTTCCAGATCCTAGTGTAGTAAAGACAACACTTGACAAACCTCGGCAGATTCCGTTACTCTACATCTAGTCTCGGCTGTATGACGGTAAGTGATTTGTACCTACGCCTATACAATTGCGACGGCGACGCCCGACCCGCGAGCACCGCAGCCCCCCCCCCCCCCAGAACATTTTGAAAATTGACTCCCTTAGACTCGATTTCTGAGCACTTAAAAAATAGTTTCGGAGATTTGATACACTATTAGTTTTGGCATCTTGTTAAACCATGGATTGATTAATACCCTGTAAAATCGAGATCAAAACACTGCTGCGGCTGACCCGCAGAAAGAAATATACTCATAAAACAATCAGAAAGACGATTTTGTAAACCTACGCACCATGATATAGTATTGGCACATGGAAAAAACCTTGTCAGCGATTTTCAAAACGTATGTATGTTGCCGCCCAGTCTTCAACTTTTGGGCTCAGTAGGCGGCACAGTAGCCTAGTCACCATGTTAAACGAGGCTCTGTGCGATGCGGCACCGTCTTACTTATTAGGAAAACTTGCCGCTTTTAAAAAGAAGTTATCAAAATAGCGACGTTCGAAGCGTGTGTAGAATTTTCGGTGAAAAGTTGTCCTTGTTTGAAGAAAATCGGATAAACATGAAAGAAAAACAGCTTCAGACTTTGAAATATTTGTATGATAAAACATTATTCAAAGGCATCGTCATGGGCAACGCCGTTGGTAATCCGGGGACTTGAAAGTACTTCCAATGGCGGATTTCGTCGTACAGCCGAGGCTAGATGAAGGGTACTGGAATCTGTTGAGGTTTGCCGAGTGGTAAAGACAAGTAAAACGAAATTTTGAACTATAAAAACGAAACGAAATAGGATCTGTGTTTTAATCAGATTGACCAGCGCCAGGATGTTAATGCTTAAATCGCCCCTCCCTTTCGCGCCCAAACACCTATGTATTGGGTACAAATGAGTCGTAATCTAAAAGATGCAACAGACCCTCTCGACAGTCGTCTGCTGAATGAACTTTAGACCCCATCACAGCAAACGAGATCAACAATAATCTTTTAGAGGCCTTTAGTAACTGCATAGAGCAATAAACAATAACACAAACTTCTGGAAAAACAGCTACCAATTTATTCAAACGAGTTCTCAAAAACGGGGTAGAATGTGTAACTAATATCTATAATACGATCCTAGTTCATTCATAAACTGTAAACAATACGTCCATCTCGTCTGTACCCCGTCCACAGTCAGTTCATATCAAGTTCAGATCGGGTAAATCTGACAATTCAAAGCAGCCCAAAGACGTCCGTAGTCAGTTTAAACCTGTTCGTAACTAGTTCTAGCTCATTCCCAATACGTCCACAACTGGTTCTAACTAGTTTCTAACACGATATAGATTAACCCCCTTCTCATCTCGTTCCCATTGCGTGTGCAATCCCGTCCTGGGTTGAGGGCTATAAAAACCCAGCGCGTTCTTGCCTAGTTGGGATGGCCTATTGGTCTAGAGTGTCGCGCTTCATCCTCTAGCTGTCCGGTCATCGCTGGCTTGTGGTTGTGGTTTCGATCCCGGTGTGGACGTATGTGGCTTGGAGATAGGGGCGCCTTCTCAACCTCGTGGGTTTACTCCGGGTACCCACAGGAAAGACCCCTATGCATGCGCTAAGATAATAAAAATGAAAAATAAGACTTGTCTGCGGTATCACCTTCGGTGGAAGCGGACGTTAAACACTAAAAATAATATTGCCATTCATCATTCCCGTCCAAGGCTTCAAGCTGTGCAGATCAAGACATTCAAATATAGCACTACAGTAGCCTCCTGTATTTCATCATACCTCTAAAGAGAACTACCAGGAGGACTCCCCGTGGGAAAGCAGCCACTGGTCATGCCCGAAGATCCCCAAGCTCCAGCTCCTCCTAAGGCCAACCAGACCAGACCCAAATTGCTGCACCTGTTCCTGGACCCTTTAGATCTCCACACTCTGCCTCAGCACATGAATCAGCAGTAAAAGTTCCCGAAGAAAAGACTCACACCCATCTCACGCCTGAGCAAGAAGTCATGGTGGAATGGCTCAAGGCCAATGAAGTCCTCTTTAACACATAACTTGAAGCAAGCAGAGGTTATGGGTGTTAACACCGAGGAGCTGAACATTAGTTTACCAGCTTGAGATCACAAAACACCAAGCTGAGGAAGAAGAAGTCTGGTGATGGTGCTCCTGAGCTCATAGAGGGGGTGTTGGGCAACTTTTCCTACAATTGCTAATTGATGCTCGGTCACGCAACATTGTAACACGTCCATAGTAGGATCGAAGTACGACAATTCCGTTCTCACACAGTTTGAGCCCGTTTGGCAATATTTTCCAGGACGCAATGAGAACTGGTTTGGTGTGATGGGGGTTTTAGGAGTGACAAACTAATAATGTCGATTATATGGTAATGAAATACGAAGTTCTGTCACTAAAACTGGGAACATTTTTAATTTTTAATTATATATACGTGTTAATGCTGATACTGGAAATGCTTCAACTTGAATTTTAAAGACATGATTATCCACTTCCCAGCAACGACCTATCGAGCACGATGTGTATATGACGCCGTGAGGATGTGCGAATATTGATTTATTCCAGGCGTTATTTTTAACGAATTCTATATTGGTATGTATAGTACGTGTAGTATATGACGCTTGTTTATATGTTGCAATATAAATGTCTATGGCATTCACATGAAATATTATTCTAATATATTTCAGGTCATTCCAGAGGATTTTAACCCAAACATGGATCAGTTCGCGGAGTATGTGTCCTACAAAACTTGGCTGCACAACAACAATTTCACGTATTTACTTCAACCATCGTACAATTTTTCTGGAGCAGACGACATCTTAAGGGAATTTGAGGCCAGTTTTTACACGTTTAGTAATTATACGACTGTTATTCTGTTGACGTTGTACATTCCTACGTTTATTGTTGCCCTTGTGGGAAATATATTGATCATCTTGACAGTGTTCGCAGATACACCCGTTAGGAAAACCAAAAATTTTTACCTGATAAATCTGGCTGTATCAGATCTGTGCATTACACTATTTTGTATGCCTATTACGGTTGGAACAATTGTGTATAGAATGTGGGTCTATGGAGAGTTCCTGTGCAAGTTTACAGCTTTTCTACCAGGTAAAGTAAAGCATAATGTGGAGTTTTAAAATGTCATGAATTATATTATGATGTTAGGCGTGTTGCTACGACCTTCTCTTGTTTCCATTTCCAACTGCCACGGGATATTAACGTTCTGCCAGTGGTATACCCAGGATCTTGGGTGTTCATACCACTAAAACGACTGTCTTCCATTGCCGGGACCTCTGTCTGCACCAATGACAAGCGGATACCTGCACCGATTAAACCTAATCCTAAACCTTAGCGATTGAGTCGTATTTAGCGGTTGCGAACATTAAAAAACACAACACAATTCATATAGAAAACAATCACTGGTTTATACACATATAGCACGACGTTTTCAAGTACTATAAACCAGTGATTGTTTTACATATAAATTGTGTTGTGTTTTTACTAATTAAACCATGCTATTATTTTAGTGCTGGCGTTTTGTTATCAAGGATCTGTAAAATATATCCACAATCTATGCAAATCGTTAGGGGCATATGCCCAAATTGCCATAAATGTTTCGACGTCCTATGTCATACAAAAATTGCACTTTTAACTATTTATTTTACTCAATTGCAATTTATGTTCCTTATAAATAGCCAAATTATACGTATCATAAATACAATCTTAAAATATTTTTAAACCTGATTATTCTACGACTACTATCTGCTTTTGGGACATTTAAAACAAAAAAAAACGCGTAAAAGATCAATAATACAGCAGAAATAGTAAATCCACAAATAATTATTATTGTAGTGCTAAGGACAGTGAAAAGATCATTACTGCAAAAGAGACATGGGTCGATAGATTTATTCTGCGGCTTATGCGAACTTTATTTCCCATTAAAATAATGTCCCCAAGCCTGTCATGTGGTTTTATGACTTCTCTATTTACATTCTAATCTCGGTAAAATTAGAACAAGCGGATTTTCTGTACTGATTACTTGTCGCTTCGTATATATGTTATTCGAACATCACCATTGTTAGAATCCGATCCAATTAAAGGGTAGTTGACTCTAGTTGTATTAATAAATGGTGGCAGTACAAGCAATGGAAATATATTAGTCCTCCTTAATTCAAGAAATGTATCTATATTAAAGTTTTGTATATATCTCTATTACAGGTGTAGCTGTAGCCTCCAGTATTTTTACACTAACTGCCATGAGCATCGACCGTTACATCTCCATTCAACATCCGACTAGAAACCACTGGGTGACCTCTCCGGCTCAAGCAGTTGGGATTATCTTCGGCACCTGGTTGGTATCCAGTATTTTAATGGGTCCAATCATGTACATCCGCCAAATTGACACTTTGTCTATCCCAAATATGGCACCAATGAAATTCTGTATCGAAAACTGGCCACAAGATTACGACCGACAGGCTTTCAGTATTTTTCTCCTTTTTGTGATCTACGTCATACCAAGTTTTACGTTAGCCGTCTGCTACGGTCATGTGGGGCGTGCTCTTTGTACCAAGGAGTTGATTCGTGACACTTCCGACAGTTCCACAGAGAGACTTTTTTCCCGAAAGAAGGCTGCAAAAATGCTCATTCTTCTTGTAATTATTTTTATGATTTGTTGGTTGCCATATAACATTTTATCATTGTCTATTGACCTTACGCAAAGAAGTGGTTCTCTCTCCATGCTGCCCTTCTCGCTGTGGCTAGGCCACGCCCATAGTGCTATTAATCCTGTCATGTACTGGTCCCTGAATCGCAGGTTCCGTGATCGAGTAAGGGGCCTAATGAAATATATCAGAAACAGTAATGCGTTTATGTCCAATCCTGGGCCAGAATTTGTGTAAACAGTTGTAAAATTCCTCTTAATTGGTCAACTAATGTAACATAATTAAAGCAGGAATCAATTTAATGAGTTCCTTTAGAAAATTTATTCTAACAGAATTCTCACAAAAGCTGATTATCAAATTATTGAGTCTATACTTGGTCCATATATGTTTTAACTATGGGTATGTACATATGATAGTGTATTGACAAAGTGGGCATTCAATTCCTTTCTGCCTCTAAAAATGTAAAATATAATGTTTTGTTATATCTTTTAAAGTATCACTTCGAAGGTTTCTTATCAGCTGTATATACTGATCTGGTGGTATCCCCGTTACGGTTCATGTTTTCTAAAGATACAAACAATCGTTATGTTCATCCAATTTTATTTTTTGTATGTTTTATTTTATGTTTGAGTATGATCTAATAATAATGAGAAGATAATATTTTCTTATCTTATATAAAGAAAAATAATGCGACTTGAGGGACATCTTTGCGCTCTGTGGCCTAGTTTAATATTTATATGATCCAGGGTATGAGGCTTAGTAACATATTCTGTGGCCCAAATGATTTGTTTAGAAACGACAGTTTCCTATGTTTTATTGAGATCGTTATGATGAAAATTATGTCAAGGTATTACTACTCGAGATAGGGTATGTGTGCCCTTTAATATACACCTGATACAACTTTCAATTGTTGGAATTTACAGATGTGTAGTCCATTTGCTGTCGTTACTAGATTGGACGTTTGTTTTATTTTTGAGATTTGTGATATAACTCTACCAAATTATGATTTGAGATTAAATTATTGTAAAAAGTTGAATAATGTATTTGAAAATAATATAACATTAGTGTAAATATGTAATATATTATATTGTCTGTATTGTAACCGGTGATAATTATATTAATTCTAGTACATAGATTAGGTTATCGCACGATAGTAATTGATTATGTTACTAAATGCTACTAACCAAGGGATTGATTAACATGGGTTTTGCCGTGTACAGTTTCTGTCCAAGTTGAAATAATTATGCGCTAATAATATTATATACTTAAACGAAGTAGTAATACCAGTCGATTTATTTATAAAGTGATAATATTTTTCGCTACTTTATTTTATAAATTGTATAAATCAATAGTATACCATTCGTTTGGCTATTTTTGTAATAGTGCCACTTTAAAGGGTTGTTTGGGACAGTGAAAACTAATTAAGATTGAAATACAATTTCTTTTTATTTTTTGATGAATTTTACATGGAATTGTTATCTAGCCAACTTTATATCCACAGTCATAATCGAAATGTTTACATTGATGGAAACCAATTTTCTTTGTCCAACATGTAGATCCTAAGCGTTTGATAGGTAAAACTTTCGACCACCCTGCTGTTATCTCACGTAGAATAATCTCCTGTCCTGCTCTTGATATTCTTTAGATTCGAGAATTCCAATCAAATATGAACAATGTCGTGACCTAAGTGAAAGTGAAACGTCCTAAAATATGCCTATAATTTTTGATATTTGTGGGAATATATAGTGTGTTGTTGAATAAAGCCAATAGACGGTTTCACAATATTTAAATTGTTTTTTTTTAATAATTTGTTATTGTTTAAAGTTAATTTCTTTGTTACATGCATGAACATAATCCAAGACCAAACACTATTACTTATTTTGTAAGATATATAAAAATCAAAATGTGCATTTTTATTTCAAAATTGTTTTAGTGGATATCAGGCTCTCGCATGGAACATTTGGCAAAGAGCTGCTGTAGGATAGGTTTCATGCATGCAATGATAGAATATTGTCTCTCGCTTGTTAACAGTGCCTTACGAAAGCTTAATATTGCTCATGATGCCAAGTTATTTAAATTATTCTTCTGTAGAGTTATTGAGCAGTATAAATTGTTGCATTTCCATATTTCATTTCTATGTAAGCCCCGTGGACTGTTTTAAGATTGGTTATGTCTGTTAGTCTGGTATGTGTTTGAAGAATTTGTGTTATACAGTTCATGAAATTATATAATTTGCTATGTTATATGTAATGTGGGAATAAGTCTCTCTTTTGTTAAAAATGTTTATATATACTCGTGTGTCCTATAACTTGTGGAAATAAAGCTTTGCTACATATCCCTTGTGATATTTCGTGATGGTGTTTAATGTAACACAGTCGATGCTGTTGATCCCATGTCACGGCTCCAAATGGTGCTTAATGTAACAGGTATAACACTTCGGCCTACAGTATGTGTTGTCAAACCTGTGAAAACCGTGCTTTAAATATATATAACGTCTCTCGAAGGCTATTTAGTCTGGGGGCTCAGTGTGGGGGGGGGGGGGCACCAAACCGAACTTTTCTATAGTAAAATTTTGCTTAGAAAACGTTGACAAACAACAGGCAGTGTTTTACGGATGGCACAAAAAGTAATCTCAGATTGCCCATATCTCGTTTATTTCTCAACGGATCTTCTGTGGGTTTTCATTTATGGATTCTTTGGACAAATCCCATATGTGCTCTGACTGACGGTTTTTCGAAATTCGGAAGGTCGCTCGATTAATATTAGCATCAAAGATTTGAGAAAGTTTTCTTCACCGTATTTTCGACATTGAAGATGGCATGCCTCCGTCACTATTTGAAGTATCAAGTTGAAACTTGGTAGGAATAATATACACGCCGATGCCTTCATGTCTACTAGCAATTAATATAAAGTATAACTTACGGTTTTATTAAGAGTTCAAAATGACAGGTTTTTCCACTTTAATAGGTATTGGATGTTACTATACACAATGAAATGAATATGAAATGAAATGGGGTTTAACGTCCTACTATTCTGTTCCTATACTGGGCTAATGAAGACGGGCATACGCCATACAGTGTGCTATGAGGGAAATTTTGCCCGGGCAGCGGCACTATCGCCTTCTCTTATATCGAATTCCAACTGCCAAGGGATCTTTTACGTGCATTCCAATGTATACACGGGACATCGGTTTATCGTCTCATCCGAAGGACTAGACAGCTGTCCTGGTCAGGCTCTCTGTCCTGCATCACTGAAAAGGGGGAACCACGCCGGAAAATCTGGATGAACTTTCTCGACCAAAGCAGGGATCGATCACGTGACCTCCTGGCTAGCGAGCCAGCGTCTTACCCACTTAGCCACGTGATCCCCCTACTATACACAATAATTCATGGTGTAACTTGAATGTTGACGTGACAAGGCCTGACGTGACGTGATATACCAAAACACGTCAGTACTCCTTAGGATTTGGATTTAAAGCCCAAATGCAGAATATATCTTGTGTCGGTACTGTGTTGTGTAAGATACCAGGAGCGGATGCATAATTTTGAAAAAGGGTAGGAGTGCAAAGGAAAGTCTTACTGGGCGAAGCGAGTAAAACAAAAAGGGCAATTCTTTACCTGATACATTATGGTTTGTAACATTATTATTTCCGTTATTATTTATGTGATGGATAATTCCGCTAGGGGGTCAAATTCAAAACGGAGGCTTATTTTGGCAGGAAACGTATAAAGTTCCATAAAGAGGTGTGTTATTTATTGAAATATAGGTTTTTGGTGTATTATATATCTTCAATATGTGTAGTTTCAGAATCCGGATGTTGCAATCCTGGCATCAGGATATTAATAAATTTAAGATGGCCGTCATGAGGTATTTTCTGGTTATTTACTTCAATTTAGTGGGGTAAAATTCGGGACAGATTCTCTGGGACCTCGGTATGAAGGTGATTTCTATCAGAATTTGACCCATTGAATCCAATGAACATGGGTATTCCTCCTAAAATGGCTGACTAATTCCAATAGGGGGGCAAATTCAAACTGGAGGCTCATTTTTGGGGGAAACTCATAGAGTCCCCCCCAAAAAGCTGTGCATTATATTAAACTATAGGTTTTCGGTGTCATTTACTTCAGATGTAAACATAAAACCGTGTTCCGACCAAAATAATATTCCAGGTTGAGCTTATATTCAAAATGGTGGCCATATTTGGCAAGACATAACGCTATTAGTAACGTATTAAACTATAGGTTTTCGGGTTCGCCGAATTCATATCTGAATGGCGATATGTGCCATGACCGACCGAAACGCCAATATGGTTCCCAAATTCAACAAAATAACTAAATTTAGTAGACCATGGAAGAAAATACAACCGGTAATGTAAAAACTTATGTATCACAGGACTAAGAGCACAAATTACAGGGTCATACGAACAGAAGCTGCAGAGAGCAAGTTGTCAAGCATAAATTATGATCCACTATGACACCCATCCGTGTCACCGTCTCTACAGAAAACAGAGTGGAATAAGGGGTGGAAAATGTTTGTCAGCATGATGCAAACCCCAGCTTTACTGGCGCGTATGAATGACTAAATAACTGACAAGACAAATGGAATGGGAAGAATCAGACTGTTCTAGCGATTGCGAGTATTCCAGTGATTCAAGAGAGAGTGAGGTAGACAAACACCTGCCAAAATAAGCCACCATTTTGAATTTGACCCCTAGCGGAATTAGCCGTCACTTTTAGGAGGAATACCCTAGCTCATTGGATTCAGTGGGTCGAATTCTTATAGAAACCATCTTCAAACCGGGGTCCGAGAGAATCTGTCACGCATTTTACCCGACTAAATAACCAAAAAATCCGTCAAAAAAATTAGGGGTACTATATTTCCAGGTTTGTCGACCTGTATGGAAGACCAAACAGCTCTTTATTCAGTGTTCTTAGTCCTTATTTCTTAATTCATAGTCCTTAATTCTTATTTCTTCATTTGTTGTCGTATTTCGACATTTGTACACTAATAACATTTGTGCACTAAAATCAACATCTGTATCTTAAAATCAATATTTGTTTTACGAACCAGACATTTGTCATATCAGATTTGTAAAATGTATTTTAATTGTATTTCAATATAAAGATAAAATTTATTTTAGAAAATCAAAACATAGCCTACATTTACATTTCATTTGAGAAATACAACGAAAAACAAATCTGGAACAATAAATTTCTAAATACAAATCCCCCAATAAAACTCTTGCAAAATATTTCTCCAAAAACGTTTCTCGAAATCCATGGAACCGGAATACTGTGACGACAAGAGCGGAAATCAACCTTGCATACAATAAGTCACCATACAATAAAGGAGAATCGAACAAGCATCAATACAATAAGAAAAATCGCTCGATAACCATGACTATAGTGAAACCACGTGTGTAGTATGGCTAATCGGGCCAAGCCTTCGAGAAAGAAAATAAATTGAAAGTAGTCTATTTCAGAAATTAGGTTTTGTCTTATAGCGACATATGTCTTTGGTCAAACGAAAGAGTGTTTTATCTCTTCTAAATCATGTAATCATGAATATGCTAGGGAATAAGTAATATATTGAAAGAGGGATACAGAAATAAATACTTTCCGTGGTATTCTGTGTGATATCTGGAATGTCGTAGTATGACCCGTATTTTGTCATTTAAGGCCCCACCCACCCCCTCCCAATCAATTAATAGAGTTTAATAGCGTACAACATTTCAAGTTATTTTCTAGCACATTTGTATTTACATACTTTGAAAAAGATCAAAATTCCACGGGGAGGGATATTTAAAGTAAAAAAAAAAACAATCTTAATAAGAATATACAGCTGGAAAGTATGTCTATTGTTTGCTACAAAATGTAAATTATTTTCTTGCATATTTGTAATTAAATACCTTGAAAAAAGAACAAATTTGAAATGGCACTAACATGTATTTAATGAGAAGGGCGGTGGGGGGGGGCGGTATATTTAACGTCAAAATACGGGCCATAACACAAAATACAAGATATCGGGATGCACACCACTACAATTGTAAAATATTTTCTGACATATTCATATTTATGTACCTTGTTAAAGCAGATATAATTTGGATCGTCTGAACTCTATTTAGTTAGGGAAGGGGGTATTTAAAATTCAAAATACGCGTCTAATTAATACGAAATTTCAGTTATCGTATAATGCTTTACGGAAAGTATTTGTCTATCGCCCTTTGAATATACGACCATTGGCTATTTTACTGGCACATGATTTAGAAGAGATAAAGCCCTCTTTCGTTTGTCCAAAGAAATTTGTCGCTATCAGACAAAACCTAATTTCTGAAAATAGACTACCCTCAATTTATTTTATTCACTGCTAGATCAGATTAACCAATATATAGAGAGAGACATAACACGCACACGATTTCACTAAAGTCTCGGTCATAGAGCTTTTTTTTATTGCATATATGTTTGCTCGATTTTCCTTTGTTGTGTGGTGACTTGTTGTATGACAGGTTGATTTCCGCTCATGTCGTCATAATGTTCCGGTTCAATAAATTTCGAGAAATGTTTTTGGAGAAATGTTATTGAAGAAATGTTTCGCAAGATTTGTATTTGGAGATTTGTATTTAGAAATTTGTTGTTCGAGATTTGTTTTTCGCTGTATTTCTATGATGAAATGTAAATGTAGATTATTTATTTGATTTTCTAAAATAAATTTTATCTTTATATTAAAATAAAATTAAATTAAACAAAGATACATTTTACAAATGTCTGATTTATAAAATGAATATTGATTTTAAGATACAAATGTCAAAGATACATTATGGGAGATTCTATAACGAGTTGGCAGTTCTCACTATAATAGTTAAAAACTAGATAATGTAAAGGCAATTTGCTGAAAATGTCATTCAAATTGATCCACTATGAACCGAGAACTAAGCGGTTGAAATATCCACCTACCCTCGATCATCATTACTAAAGTCAGTACGATAAACAGCATAGTCTCGATTATCCATTTAATCGTTAAATCGTGAAGGAAAGTTATGCAGTAAATCGGCTCATAATCCACTAAAGATCGCAGATTAGCATAACCATCTAGAGTTGATTATGGTCTGGATAGGTTAATTAATGTCTAATTAATAATTTAGATAACATTTCAGGCCTAAAGAAAGACCTGCAATAGGCAGATTTAGCTCTTGCATAATGTATGTTTAATTTTAGCGTACAAATGTCGAAATACGATAACAAATGAAGAACTAAGAATTAAGGACTATGAATTAAGAACTAAGAATTAAGAACACTGAATAAAGAGCTGTTTGGTCTTCCATAGACCTGCTGCCGGACTATTGCTTCCAGTCTATTTTGAACATAGTGCTAGGAAACATAAAATTTTTTATTTACAAATGCGCCTCAATATCAGCGACTTAAACGGTCACCGATTCATCAGACACATTCTTGAAAACTATTATTGGACACTCCTTTGCAGACGGGGGATCACGGTGGCTAAGTGGGTAAGGCGCTGGCTCGCTAGCCTGGAGGTCGGGTGTTCGATCCCTGCATTGGCCGAGAAAGTTCATCCCGATTTTCCTGCGTGGTTCTCCCTTGTCAGTGATGCAGGACGGAGGGGCTGACAAGGACAGCTGTCTAGTCGTTCGGATGGGACGAAAAACCGAGGTCCCGTGTACTCATTGGCGTGCACGTAAAAGATCCCTTGACAGTTGGAATTCGATATAAGAGTAGGCCGTAGTGCCGCTGTCCGGGCAAAATTTCCCTCATAGCACACTGTATGGCGTATGCCCGTCTTCATTAGCCCAGTTCGGAGCAAAACAGTAGGACGTTAAACCCCATTTCATTTCATTTCATTTCCTTTGCAGACAGCTATCGTTATATTACTTGTTAGTGTGTCACTTATATTTAGACGAATTACGGATAACAATTAAAGCTCTCACATCAAAACAGAGAAATATAACGATACTTTTCTTTGGATCTTCTGATTTTAACCTTGATACCAACTACTAGTATTTACTATTATTAAGTATTATTAGTGTTACTGTTGATGTTGCTTCATTTATTTTAATGTATGAGAAGATGTTGACTCGCTAACCAGGGAGTCTTGGTTTCGCTACCGCTGGTGGCCGAGAAAGTTCCTTAGGATTTTCCGGTGTGGTTTCCCATTGTCAATGGTGCAGGACTAGTGTTTAGTCTTTAAGATGAGACGGAAATCCGAGGTGCCGTGTACACATTGGTGTGCACGTAAAAGACCAGCTAGATTTATAAATAGTGCCGCCTTCCGGGCAAAATGACCCTCACAGAACACAGCATTATCCCTATCGATGCAGACAATTAGGACGCTAAACCCCATTTTATTTCCTTTAATTTCATTTAATATAGTATACTTAAATCCCTTAATTATTTTAATCCATTGTTCATATACTTCTTCATTAATGTTTCATGTAAGTTTATTACAATGAATTGTTATCTTGATCAATGTTATCTTTTCCACATTTGTTTTAAATAACGGTATTTTGATCAGTCAGTATTGTAAGGCGTATTACGTTTAAATGTTTACCGGTATTAAATACTTGAAGAAATATTCGAAGTTTCTTGAAATATCTGGAGTTTTGCACTATCAAAGTACAACAGTTAGAATATTCAAATATGGACTATTTGATGATTAAATGATCTTATACAAAATCGCGTAATTGGCTTAGTTGACGAGCTGTTTATACTACACGGTTTGACATTTTCAATAAGTGTGATGACGTCCGCACGACTCAGCATCCTAGACACATCCTTTGTAAAGTTCCAGACAAAACATGTTAGAGACAACCTTCTTACGTCAAAACAATTTACATCTGCTCACAATGTGTAATGAATACTAAATGATGGATTGATTCTCCAAGCCATTGATCATCCTTTGATTTTTCGGAAATGAGATGAAATGAAATGGGGTTTAACGTCCTGCTGTTCTGCCCCTAACCTGGGCTAATGAAGACGGGCATACGCCATACAGTGTGCTATGAGGGAAATTTTGCCCGGGCAGCGGCGCTACGGCCTACTCTTATATCGAATTCCAACTGCCAAGGGATCTTTTACGTGCACGCCAATGTGAACACGGGACCTCGGTTTTTCGTCCTATCCGAACGACTAGACAGCTGTCCTTGTCAGGCCCTCCATCCTGCATCACTGACAAGGGGAAACCACGCTGGAAAATCTGAATGAACTTTCTCGGGACAATTTCAAATTTTTCATGCTAACTCTAACATTTTAACATTTAATTAAGAAAACCAAGGAAACAAAATCAAAATGTTAAAGGTATATAATCTCCTGTTTTTAAAGAAATTGGATTAAAAGGAGGCCAATCAAAATATTTTAGTGAAAATTATAGGTGACGCTGGCTTCTGTCGTTGATATCGTCTGCAGATGACACCGAATGTTGGTAGCTTAAGTTTAGCATATATTTGTAAATGTCGAAACGAATTGAACCACAATTTAGAGATTCAACTTTCTAGGGGTTGGGTTCAACCCTACTATTTATACAAAATGTTGTTGTCCATTGAATATCGTCTACTAAATAGTGACGGAAGTTTTGCACAAGGTATTATGCTGTTGAAGCGAACTTCCAGTCCATCGCCTACTCGTTAGAAAGCAAATCATACCACTTTCGTTTTCTTGCACACACACACCGCCGAATAAACTATAAATATAAAGACGTTGTAACTGTATTTTTAATATACCAGATTTCGATTCTGCCAGACCTTCTTGCAAATGTATTTCGAAAACAAAACTGCTAATTATTTACAACCAGACCGTATATATCTGTTAGCTATTTAAATTATGTTGATAAAAGACTAAAGATAAATAATATCTAGACTAAGTAATAAAGATTGCTTCTATACGGATTTAGTACGAAATTTAATACTGATGTCTTTAGAACACATGCCTTAGTTGAAAGGGACTGTATGAGTCGTGGCGTTATGGTGGTTGTCTCCAGGATTTACTGTAAATCACCAGCCTTATCACCGAAACATCTGACATACTTTATAAGCATACCATTGAAGGTGTGGGCGAATCTCTGAACATATTTATGTAGCAATTAAATTAAAACTGATCCTAAACCGATATCAGGTTTTAAAAGTACCGTTAGAATTTTTAGCTTACATTATTACTATATAGTTAAACTGACAGAGTCGATGAGGTATATAATAGACTTAACGTATTAGAGTTAACTCCGACATGATATAGATACTTGACGTCAGTAGACAATTACCACTTAAATGCTATTATTGTTGGCTTCTTAGACACTTAATGCCCCTTACATGGTAACAAATGACTCGGGTTCTACTTCCGTTAACGGTTCCTCATTGGTGAGCTTTAAAAACGACTTTCGTCATTCGTCCAGCTTCCAAATTTAGATCGAAACAGTAGAAATACATATCGACACCTATCAAGACACGTGGTCTTAAATTAAGCATGACCCCTGTCCACCTCTTCTAGTGTTTATAAGGTAATGACGCGTTTTACTTCTTTGAAAATAAATATAATCTGTCATGTTATTAATAGAATATAAACATTTTATCACCTGAACCGAAATTAAACTTCACAGCTGTAAAACGTTTTAAAGGGTATGATTCTGGAGGTGATATACTGAATAAATATCGGAAACATAATGGCGGTGTTGGCGCTAAAAATTGCTGATATACAAAACTTACCCTATGCATAAATTCGAGAGTGTCGACACACTTTGAGACTGTGTAGATCTAACATTGAAAACTATTTTGAACATGGTAAGCATATCTTGTGGACAGCGCCTGTCACCACTAATTATATTTTACAATATCATCGTAACATATTTAAATACATATTTGATTGTTGATTTCACCCACCAGAAATTTGAACGTGCATTAATTAGCATGTCGATTTAGCTCAGATCTATACTCTTCAAAAAGAGTAGGGGATAACATCATACACTGCTGTTTTATTAGAGGTAACCAGTGTATGTTAATAACAGGCCAATTGCCTACACATGGGCGGCTTATCTGAAGGCCCCATTTTACGCGCAAAGAGATACACCGTCAAAAGCGAAAATGGACGTTTTTGATTTTTGTCTTAATAATGAGCAATTGCTCCACCGATCCTCAGACATTCAGCCATTCGTCGTGGCATGCTCCTAAGCAACCAATAATGATTTGGGGCAATCTGACCCACTCCTCTTGCAGTGCCACGGCCAATCCTTGCAGTGTTGTCGGTTGACGTTGACGTCAACGAACACGTCTCCCGATTAAATTAAACGTAACACACTAAAGCAAAGATACGCTAAACAGTAAATCTTATGCAATAACCGATAGGAAAGCAAACGTGGATAGATAAATCAGCACGCAGCAGTTTTCATCAACTCTTCCTTGAAGTGTCAAATTTGACAATGAACCCCTTCCCCTTTGTATGGCGCTATTGCGTGTCGCATGTGCACCTCAATGGTTCTGTTGAGGCGATAAGTTCTTCATCTGTGAACATACTCTCAAAGCATGTCAAATGTCCATGAATATCATATCGCAACCTGCATAAGTATTTGCATTTCAATATCCCCTACTTTTTTGAAGAGTATATAAACTACCTATGGTGATGGCTGGTGTATGATGTTAAACATGGAAGGAAGTTAATGATTAGGATATTGAAATCGTCACGATTTTCAGAATGTCTCTAGTCACGTTTCCAATTTGAGAAGTAGATCGGTTATGCTTTTATGTCTGTATAACTAAATAATCACTAAATCTAGAATTATGTCATCATGATTACCTGAACCCGAATTTAAAAGATTATTTATTGCCCATTCTTTTATTAACATGGTAGAAATTCATTCGCACAGAATAAATATTCCAATAACAGAGAACTTTTGATATATACGACGTATTAATAAGGATCCTTGACCTAGCAAACAATAGCCCCCCAACATTAAAGGAATATCAGTAGGCCAACAAAGTCTTTTATTTTTGAACTATCCTAGTATAAAAATCACATAAAAAGAATAAATATTCAAAAGCGGAGAATAATTCGTTACCATAAAATTAGCCCCCAAATCCAACCAAGAAGTTATCAGCCGTCTAACATGACTTTCAGTTTGTACTCAACATCACATTGGTTTGAATGGTCATCCGTCTTTTATTAATATTTATATATCTATGTAAATAGTCGAGCTGAGTAATGTAGCCTTATGGTTATAATTTTAATTAGATTGTGTAACAATCAGGTCCACTACAGCGAAAGGGCTTCTCCATTAGGCTGTCAATCACTATAAATGACTCCTGTAATAGAAAAAGACGGGTGTTACCCATGGCCATAGACTGAAGATCAATCAAGTAACGTTGTCCATAGACTTGAGAGTAAATTTAAGTTTTCTATCCAGTTACTGCACCCAAATTCCATTGACTTAAGTTAGGCTATTAAGTCTAAGTTTTCCATACAATCACTTCACACAAATGGAACAGTTTTATACATTTCTTATTTTCCTCGGGATCGTGTTGTTATTTGATGGTTAAGATATCTATATTTACGCGCCTGTTCAAACGACAAATGCATTATACATTAGAAAATGCATTATGATTATGACTAATGATTGTTAATTTTTGATAAACCATACAATTGAAGATACAATATAAATTATCCTTTGTCTCGTCTAGTATATAATCAACTTGACACTGGAAACACATTTACAATAGTAATGACCGCTATAGGGAATAAAACCAGGGACTCACATCTAAATACGTCATGTTTACTTGACCTGATTGTATCAAGCTGTCAATCTCTATAACTTTTTCCTGCTTGTCTATGACTACTAAAATGAAGCCAAGATACAATGTAGCCAATATTGAAAGAAAAACTATTTACAAGTGATAGAATATGAAGGAAATGAATGTCTCGTCAACATTTCATATGCGAGTTTGAGACTAAAGGCGTAATGATCGTAACGGTGCTGTGGTTGATAATAATATTTGGTGGCGCTAGCTCCTAATTAACTCCTAAGGGCATCCTTACCTACACCTGTGTCCTTATTTTCCTAACAGTCTAGCTACACACCACGAAGATCCCAAGGTTGTGAAAAGCTGTTGTGTTTATTCCATGTTCGCTTTGCAATGGCTGTTCCATCGCCCTGTTGCACGTGTTTTTTTTTATTATTTTCCACGTTTTCGAACGATGGAATCAGCTGACGTAAATATAACAATACACATCCGATATGTTACATTTTACATTCCAGTTTTATTCAGAGAAATAGGCAATAGACTATGGTCTAGTTCGAAATCCTAGGCCCGCCGGTTTAAACTCGTTATTAGATCGCCAGTCAGATTATTTTAAACAGTTTGGCGTATTTTCTTAAAGATGATTCCTCGTCAAATTGTATTACCTAAATATCAACCTAATACTGTTAAAAAAGCAATTACCTTGACAAAAGAACGAATGATAATTCAAGTCTAATTGCTGATCAAAGACGATTATCAAGGAATCTTGTCTTTAACGAAGTAAATGTCAAAGTATTTACTTGAGCTATTATCAGAACACTTCCTAGGATTTAAGGGGAATAACTCGAGCAATCTATCCTAATTGGGTAAAGAGAAACGTGTTCACTGAAACCGTAAAAATAGAGTAACAAATCGGGAATTCTCCGTTGCTTCACTTGTTGAACGTGGGTGTTCTCAGGCCTTTTTAAAAGAATGTCCTTGATCTGCCGTCATACACACGAAAACGTCAGGAAAAGCAGTAGACAAAATACATTTCTGATTGAAATTATTTACGATGAAATCAAAATTTTCCAAATTCAAAGACAATGGAAAATGCAATTATGTTAAGGGCAATAACCGGTGAATCGCTTTCCGCAAGTAACTGACGAAATGTACACCCTATTCATACAGTCTACATTTAGGTCTACAAAAATCGTGTACAATTAATTTACCACGTGACAGTTTCCCCGCTCTTCGATCGATTTCGTCTTCCAAGGCTAGTAGCGTGTCGGTCAGTCCTTCAGAGAACCAATAACAAAAGGAACGAACAAATGAACAGAACCACAGCCACCATTAATAAACGACAAAACCGGACAACGGATAGGAGAATAGATCAGACTATACAAGACAAGATCCGCCTTGTCATTCGACAAGACCAGAAGAATGGGGTTTGTGGTTCTGTTCATTTGTTCGTTCCTTTTGTTATTGGTTCTCTGAAGGACTGAGCGTCAAGCTGCTAGCTTGGAAAGAGAAAATCGAAGAGTGGAGAAACTGTCACGTGGTAAATTAATTGTAGGTTCAATAGAAATAGCATTTCTGGCGATAGAAGCCCTATACCTCCAGCACAGGGAGGGACCGTTTGTTCCAGTGTTATGCCTCCTTAACCGAAAACCTATACCAATATAAGGTGCGTCCTGATGACCCCAAAGATTCAAAATCCATAACAATTTGTAGCCTCTATCGCGTTCATAAAGTTTTCGGAATGCAGAAAACCGATGGGCCTTATCATATCATGACAAAAATGCAAATAAAGATTCAGTGAAAATTGTAGCCTGAAAGTCCAGACTAGAATGTCATGGAACGCTGAATGTCGATATAGGTTTCGTTCTATTACGAGTCCAATGCTTCACACAAAATTTCAACAAAATAAAATTCGTTATAAACTTTAGCCTGTATCACGTTCTCATTGTTTTTCATGGAAGAGGGCATTCCGACAGGGTTCGTCCTCTCATTTTCTACACCAAATTTTTAAAAAAATAAAATTTAAATATTGTAGCCTTCATTGCGTTAACAAGCGAATTGTTGACGGACTGACGAACGGGCGGAAAGGGTGACGACATTATACGCCCACGCTGAAATCCGGGGGTATAAAAAGCGTGAACGGACGAACTTTTCTACAATTCGATTCATAGCTATTTTACTAAAATTAGTGTACAATATGTGCAATATCTAATACATGCACATAGACATTGATGATGTCGTGTAGAATCAGTAATTCAAGGATAAACAAATGGTTAAGCCGACATGTAGACAACATGATGTGTTTTATTTAGATAAGAATAAAGTTATTGTAATATGAAAATCAAGATATTTTTGTTCTATTCAAGGAATGAACATTTGCTTTCCTTGTGTAAAATGGAGGTTTGAAAGAATTAACTGACTATAAAATTATAAAATCTCCACATTTTTAATCTTTCGAGTTTACCTTCTGTGTTTATTTTTCATAATGAAACAGTTTAATCTCTTCCGTAAAACATGGCGTGTAGGCTTATTATAGCCGCAACGGTTACAAATTTAAAAAAATGAAATAACGCAAGGTTACTTAAAGAGAATCGTGTTTAGAGGACAAAGAATAAAAACTGTATAGACAAGATAAAAATCAGGAAAAATCATGTGCTAATTGATCATTTATCTGTTCATAAAGCTTATGTTCATTAATCGAACTTTATTTTAAATGTTATCTCCCAACTAGACAATTAATAACTCAACGAAGAAAAGGAAACATCTCATTTCTCTCATAGAGATTTATAAATTTTGAAACTAATATATATGGTAAGTTAGCAATATTTATAATACTGTTCCTGGCAAAATTGTTTTCTTGGTGAAGATATACTATAAACAAACTATAAGTTTAAAAGACAATGCAGCAAGTTTTAACTTCTTAATAAAACACAAAACCAGTAAACAGACATAACAAGTAGAAAATATGTATAGTGTATTTAACTATGGAGTTATAGCAATATATTATACAATTTATTTCGTTGTCTCGGTATTGTTAGAAGGATTAAAAAGTTTAAATAAATATTCAAGACTTTGCCATCTAACCTACGTATATTATTATATCTACAAAAACATGACACACAGCATATTTAAAAGATCAAAATATCTTTAATAATATGTTATATATACTTCAATGTAAGATGTATCCTATTTATTGACAAGTTTCTTAATTTTTGGGCCCTAATTCGCATCTTTTAAAAGGTGGTTGTTTGATAAGACATTGTAGCTGTAAGTTTTATAAAGCTGAATAATTATGAACATTGAAAATTTGTCATTGGGTACGTATATACTTACTACGTCAATGTTTGTATGGGGTACTTGTTTCGAAGATTCCTGTTGTTATCCACATCGCACAAGTACGTATTTAAGGCTAATAATATAAGGGGCGTCACAAGTCCTCAGCAGATTATGAAGTTATCACTATTTCCGAAATTTTAGCAACAGCAACTCGTGACAGATGATTTTTTTTAAGTATCGAATTATTATGGCTAATTAGATCAAAGGCTCGAGGGACAAAAAATTAAAAGTAAAAAAGGATCTACTTTAAATTTCATTAAAATGAGAATGAAATGAAAATCAAAGAATCATACTGTGGGCTAAGCTGGACTATAAAACTCACAAAAAATAAACCACATTAAGCCCGACTTTTATCTAATGTAATTCAACTACAAAAAATATCAATTAATCAGATTGACTATTTAAACCAAGGTAAATTATGCAAATAGGCACATAGGAAATGCGATTGTGGTCAGCATTATATAGATCACACACTTTTTAAATTAGTATTTTTCTAGATTACATTGCACAAAAAATATATGACTATACATTAGCTGATATAAAGGGAAGTAACTGTGTTTTGTCACGAGATATTTTTTAAAGTTTATATTCGTTCAAATTCACCACAACGTATAAAATAAACACAATTAATATATCTCGTTATTATTTATTTGGTTACAGGAACAAGAGTGGCGCCATGCTGTTGGGTATATTAGTATGCACAGGTAAGACACGTTTATATATAATTAGGCTAATGCACACCGGGCTCATAGTAGTAAAGTTAAAGTAGCCACCATGAACAACTTATTGGAACCAGCAACGTTTTGTCCAAAGTATTAAATTCTTGTAAATATATTTTTGAGAAATGTTGTTATTGATGCTGTTTAAAAATTAATCGACGTTGAGGTTTGACGTTCCTAGCTCAATCAAAATATAAGAATGAAAACAAAATATATTAAAGACAACACATTATTCGATTTTTATCACTTCTATCAAGAAAATATATGTAATTATTTTAAATAATGTCATATGCAAACTAACCTTAGTAGCAGTAAAGTTAAACCTTTCAAATCGAAAATTCCGTATTACAAACCAGTGAAGATCTCAAAAGAGCAAATTATCAGTAAAGAACGTTGTTATATGCAGATTTCATTTGTACATTAATTTACATGAACCCGATCAGACGAATCGTAGAATAGAATTTGGAAGCAATTCGTATTGTTCGATCTTAACTGTCCTCCTTAAACAGCGGGGGTTGGATGGGCTAGTAGTTTAACGCGTGTGCGTGAAAGGTCTGTCATTAAGTCTAGTGGCATGGTTTCGATTCACCGCTTGAAGGAGTAGGGTCACCTGTCCAACCTCGCGGGTTTCTCCCACTACTGAAGATCCCCCCCCCCCTTATATCTCTCTCTCTCTCTGGATAAAAACGGGTCAATGTTATAATTTTAGTCCGTTGTATAGTTTTGCTGCTCTGTGGTTAATTTAATAAATGTTATTGAAGTTTAGATATTATAACATAATAGCTGCTATGTAAACGTTTGTAGATTGTAAAATGGGCCTGGCTTGAAATATGACAGGTATTTTGGAAATAATGTACTTTTCCTCGTAGTTCGAATGTTTTCCGACCGAAGGTTACATATTAAGGATTTTACATTTTTTGCAAAATTACTTTCTTACATGTAAATGCTTGTAATTAGACCTTTGTAAATGGTATTATCTTAATGACAACCGCAACATACTTATCGGAATACTCTAATATCTTTGATTCTTAAATGAGTACAATCAATCAAAACCTAAGTTAATTCAAACTAACTGCCTAACCAAGATTAACACAATTACACAAGCCATAATTTTATAGAAACACAATTACTGATTTTATTATATTACAACTAGGGTACAAGCGTTTTAATCAAGAGAATAACGGTACCGTTATATTTTACTAACCCAAGTTTTTTTGTTGTTGCAGTTCTGTGCTTCATCAATATCGTTAATTCGGCTCTTGTTGTCGACGTCGAGAACATGGTTATGAACTTAAAACATGCCCGACTTTATTCTACAACAGCAACATCGTTAAAAGCTGTACTTGGTCTGCCTCCAGACGTAGACCTAATGAGAACAGCAACAATCCAGACAGCTCAGGGTATTACTAAAAGTCGACACAAAGAATTGTTTCAAGGAAAACCCGTGACAGGTGCAGGAGTAGAAGCCTGTGTTGATGACCAAGGAAATTACTTGCGAGGCATTGTTACAGGAACCATAGTCTTGAACATTGACAATGATCTGCCTCTAGAAAAAGACTGTAATTTGACACCACCCGATGCGGTACTAATGGTTTTAGCAGCTGAAGGTTTGACGGACAATGTGAATATAAACGATCAACATATTGTTGATACTATCTTTGTTGACGATAAGAAAATAGCTCATAGGGCCTTTGAGGTGGAATTATTTATTCCTCAGTTACAATTACAACCTTTTTATGTCATTGATAGATGTAGTTGGCAGATTCTTGACTCCTTTAATAAAATATATCGATTCGCGGGACCGACTGCATCAACAGATTGGTATTGGAATCCGGGGACAACTGCACAGCTTGACCCAAATATTCCGGCCATTAACCTTTTATCAACTATCAACCCACCAGTTCAAGGTATACCAGTAACGAGTAATAATGCTGGACCAACAATTGTAAATCCACTGCCCACAGCTGTTCCCCAGACGTTGCCCCCGACAACTGTACCCGTTGTTCAGACTAATATTATTACCACCATTAACCCAGGTCCTATTCCTCCCCAAATTACCACTGATGTAGCCACAAATCCCAACCCATTACCAACCGATTCAGGAACTGCAATTCCAGCACCAGTACCCAACCAAATCACCAACAATCCTATTACTATTCCCCTTCCAGCTACTAATGGCCCGGTTACACTTCCACGTCCCTTAACAGTAAACCCCGGAGCTACCATCCCCATCCCCACTAACAACCCTATTCCAACCAATAATCCTATTCCCACTAACAATCCTATTCCAACCAATAATCCTATTCCAACCAATAATCCTATTCCCATACCGACAAACATTCCAATCCCCACCAACAATCCAATTCCAACAAATAATCCAAACAACCCTTTTCCGAACAATATTCCAATTGGGACCAACAATCCTGCAAATTTCATAGATCCACTTCCGTTAATGACGACTGTTTTTCCAATCAATGCATGTCCCACAATAGCCGTTGGAATCGGAGGCAATACTAAAACAAAGCAGTATTCTTACGGGGTACCACCTCGTTGCCTTAATCCCCAGATAGTAGGTGATCAGTGTTTTCTTGAGAATCAGTTTGTAAAGGTTGTTGATTTGGAAGGATCTATGTTCGTTTTCGCTCCGGAAACGGCAAACTTTACATGCTCGGCTGGATATCTTGATGCCATAAATGGGGCATTTTCGCCAGCTCTGGATGCTTACTTTTTTGCTAGTACCTCTGGTAGAATGTATCAACAATGGTACGGTATCCCGCCCATGGTAAAGAAACCTGTCGTTCAAGTCCACTACGGAGTAAATATTGACAACGCTTTTTACAACCCATACAGCAATGTTCTTACGTTTGGTGATGGTAATTTCATGACCTTTCCTCTAGTTAGCATGGATGTTGTAAGCCATGAGTTAGCACATGGCATAACCACTCTACACTCGAACTTGCGTTACAAAGGCGAATCGGGTGGAATCGATGAATCTTTTTCTGATATGGCTGGAGAAGCAGCTGAAGCGTTCTTCCAGACCAATGACTGGTTAGTTGGAAGTGATCTCATGAAAACTCAAGGAGAAGCATTTCGGTATTTTGACGATCCTACAAAAGATGGTAATTCAATAAAACACATCAACCAGTTTAAGAAAAGAATGGATGTTCACTTTAGCAGTGGTATCTTCAATCACGTATTCTATCTTATGTCCACAGTTTACGGAATAAACATAAGATATGCATTTGAAGCTTTCCTGAAAGCCAACCAACTCTACTGGAAATCTAATGATGGATTTGTGCAGGCTGCGTGTGGGGCCGTGCGAGCTGCTTATGATACTGGGATTGATGTATTAAGTGTGATAGACGCATTCGCACAGGTCGGCATAACAACGTGTAATATATCTACATTTATAGAAAAACTTGATCCGTCCTTAATACGGGATGGCCTACGGGTTTCAAGTATCATTCAACCAATGTTTCGTGTATCGGTACCTCCAATAAACACGGGTATAACAATACAAGCTTATTCGGCAAAGAATGATGTCATTGGCATTCTTCTTACAGATTCTATTTCCAGAGATGTCCCAGAAATAAACACTGCTCTAAACTATATGTCATATACTTTACCAGTTAATTCCACACGTCAGTTTTATATACGATTATATACATATACTGAAAAACTCATTCCAGCGGTATCTTTAGCGATTAAGTTCATATAAATAAAAATATTTTCTACAAAAGTGTATGTTATCTACTTTATTTTGTAAGTAACAGTGGGAAGACCGTGTCTGGGGTGCGACACCTATTAAAACATATTACACTATTCTAAAGCGAGATTCCGTAAGAAATATGAGATGGTAATATCCTAGAATCAGACATGTTTACATCACCTCCTGTATCAAAACAGTAAATACAAGAACCAATCCTAAACGCCAAATATAAAGCGGCGAGCATATATTGGGACCATTTCCTGTCAAATCACCACCAAAAATGAAAAATGTATACGTACACTTTTTTTTCCATCCCTTTTCCAGCAGTCTGGTCACATTTCACTAAGGCTTAATAGTATCAGTTTTTCAGCCAACATAAGCATTAAAACCATCGAAAGAGGTACGGTTTACCCAATTGAGTGATATGACAGAGAATCAGACTGTATCTGTAAGTAGGCCAAGATGTAACCAACAGAATTATAGGACGAAAAGTGTTGATAGCCAACATCATTTCTTTAGTTAACCGGAGCAGCATGAAAGTGCATCCTTATTGTCGAGATGACATTCTGTGGGTGTGCTTGTCCGGGATACATGTTTATCTCCGATATTGCGTCATCGGGCTCAATCAAACCTATGATTTACTTGTACAACAACTGTTATTAAAGGAGCTAAGTCGCTAATATTTGGGTCCTAGAAATTGACACAAATGGGTCGCAACGCATATAATAATGTAATATGAATGTATATAAATTGATTTACATTCAATCGTTTCTGTTTTTATACGCCCACATTTTCATGTGGACGTATATTGTCGTCGCCCCTGTCCGTCACAATTTTGAACCGATTTTGATGAAACTTGACATACATGTTTATAACGCGAAGATTTTGGATCCTTTCGAGATTTGCGCCCATCGGAACGTAACTTCCTGAATTATGGCCCCTGATTGTCCGAAAAATCGCCTTTTTATACGCCCACATTTTCATGTGGACGTATTATGCCGTCGCCCCTGTCCGTCCGTCCGTCCACAATTTGTTTGTGGACACTCTAGAGGTCACAATTCTTATCCGATTTTGACGAAACTTGAAATATAGGTTTATCTCCATAAGATCTCGGCTGCTTTCGATATTGGCATGTAGGCTATCGGATCGACACTTTATGGATTATGGTCCCTGTTTGTACGAAAAATCACGTTTTTAGCTTGTGGACCCTATAGAGGTCACAATTTTTATCCGATTTTGTTGAAACTTGAAATGTAAGTTTATAACCCAAAGATCTCGGTTCCTTTTGATATTCGCGCATATCGGACCATAACTTCCTGAATTATGTCCCCTGATTGTACGAAAAATCGCGTTTTTAGCTTGTGGACCCTATAGAAGTCATAATTTTTATCCAATTTAAAAACCCGTATTATTGTATCACCGTTACACCCTAAGGACGACTGAGTTCAAATTTCGTGAAAATCGACCCAAAATTGACAGACAAAATGGCCGCCGTTCGTTCTCAAATAGCGTAAGAATATGGTATATCAAGGTTGTGGAACCTATAGAGGTCACACTTTTTATCCGATTTTGTTGAAACTTGAAATGTAAGTTTATAACCCAAGGATTTCGGTTCCTTTCGATATTCGCGCATATCGGACATTAACTTCCTGAATTATGTCCCCTGACTGTACGAAAAATCGCGTTTTTAGCTTGTGGACCCTATAGAAGTCATAATTTTTATCCCATTTAAAAAGCTGTATTATTATATCACCGTTACACCCTAAGGACGACTGAGTTCGAATTTCGTGAAAATCGGCCCAAATTTGACAGACAAAATGGCCGCCGTTCGTTCTCAAATAGCATAAAAATATGGTATATCAAGGTTGTGGACCCTATAGAGGTCACAAGTTTTATCCGATTTTGTTGAAACCTGAAATGTAAGTTTATAACCCAAACATCTCGGTTCCTTTCGATATTCGCGCATATTGTACCGTAACTTCCTGAATTATGGCCCCTGATTGTACGAAAAATCGCGTTTTTAGCTTGCGGACCCTATAGAGGTCATAATTTTTATCCGATTTAAAAAAACCTATTATTATATCACCGTTACACCCTAAGGACAGCTGAGGTCGAATTTCGTGACAATCGGCTCAAAATTGACACACAAAATGGCCGCCGTTCGTTCTCAAATAGCGTAAAAATATGGTATATCAAGGTTGTGGACCCTATAGAGGTCACAATTTTTATCCGATTTTGTTGAAACTTGAAATGTAAGTTTATAACCCAAAGATTTCGGTTCCTTTCGATATTCGCGCATATCGGACATTAACTTCCTGAATTATGTCCCCTGACTGTACGAAAAATCGCGTTTTTAGCTTGTGGACCCTATAGAAGTCATAATTTTTATCCCATTCAAAAAGCTGTATTATTATATCACCGTTACACCCTAAATACGACTCCGTTCGTTCTGAAATAGCGTAAAAATATGGTATATCAAGGTTGTGGACCCTATAGAGGTCACAAGTTTATAACACAAAGATCTCAGTTCATTTCGATATTCGCGCATATTGAATTGTAATTTCCTGAATTATGGCCCTTGATAGTAGGAACAATCATTTTCTTGTTAGCTTGTTCTCTATCCATCTCTCGAAAATGTGGGCGTATCCTTCCTGGCAGCCGCTGGTTTAGCTTGTGGTCCCTCTGGAGGTCACAATTATTATCCGATTTAAAAAAACGTTTGATTATGTCACCGTTACACCGTAATAAAGGTTGAGTTCGAATTTCCTGAAAATCAAACCAAAACTGCCGGACAAAATGGCCGCCGCTTGTACGCGAATTGTGGAGCCTGTAGAGGTCACAATTTTAATCCGATTTTGATTAAACTTGAAATGCATGTTTATAACCCAAAGATCTTAGTTCCTTTCGATATTTGCGCATATCGAATTGTAACTTCATGAATTATTGCCCTTGATTGTAGGAAAAATCACTTTCTATTTAGCTTGTTCTGTATCCATCTCTCGTAAATATGGGCGGATCCTGCCTGGCAGCCGCTGGTTACTCTAATTTCTAATCAGTTAGGTTCGGCGACATACGTCAGTATTCTCAATCGAATTTCAATCTCTAGCTTCTGGTTATTCCAGTCTACGCCGATAGTATTTATTTGGCATGCTCTCCAGATAAGAATATAGCGTCACCGTTTGACATGACTTGTGGAATATGCCTAGTCTCGTTTTTCGAGTTCCTTATTACAAATAGTGCTGAAACGCATTATGGTACACGATTCAATTGTTAAATTTTTATTTTGTCTTAAATATTGGATATCAGAAGGCCATCTTTTCCCTGTAAGATCACAACATCAATGTTGATTTAAACCCACAAATAAATCGTGTTTTCAATGTCGAAGATTTTGTATGATATTGAGTTAGAGACTTAGCTACTTTAAATGTACTTTCTAGATGCGTAGACCGTTCGAATTAAACTTTTACTGATGCACAGATCACCTATAGCAACTTTGACCTATCACGATCAGGAGATACATGTTCTACTCAAGGGCTTAACACTTATGAGGAAATCGATTTTATATTGCGCCTTTATTTCCAAATTACATCCCTCAGAACTAGAGTATATTTCGGAAGGTTGGGACCAAGGCGTCAAATTTATTTTTTCTGCCGGGGTCATTAATATCATTAATAATCTCGAGTCAGTTTAAAACCCACCTTCATGGAGTAAAATGGAGTTATCTTTCTTTTATCATAATCACAAAATTCCAGTCGAATTTCCATTTCAAACCATTCTTTCTTTAATTAACCCCCCCCCCCCCAAAAAAAACAGCTAATAAGAATAGGCTTTACTACGTAAAACGAATTTAAATAGTTTTTACACCGTGTCTTAAGCACCGAATTATAATATATCTTTTTTTTTATACCACAAAAAAATCTGTAATTGGCTTAAAGAAATGTGTCAGTCAATTATGTGAAGCAATCGGAGATGAAATTAAAATAAAAGAGATCAACAATATTAAAGGAGATAAATCGCTAATATTTGGGTCCTAGATATTGACACAAATGGGTCGCAGCGCATGTAATATGAATGTATATAACCTGATTTACATTCAATCTTTTCTGTTTTTACTGTAATTTCCAATCGAATGGTAATCTCTAGCGTCTGGTTATTCCAGTCTACACCGATTGTATTTATTGCGCATGCTGTCCCGATAAGAATATGACGCCACCGTTTGATATGACTTGTGGAGTATTTTTAGCCTCGTACTTCGAGTCCCTTGTTATAAATGGCACTGAAACGCATTCTGGTACACGATTCGTGTACAAATGGTAAAATGTTATTTTGTGTTAAATATTGAATATCAGAAGCCCATCTTTTCCCGGTAAGACCACAACATCAATGTTGATTTAAATTGACAAATAATTCGCGTTTTCAATGTCGAAGACTTTGGATGATATTGAGTTAGTGACTTGGCTACTTTAAGCTTCGATCTATAGAATATAATTCACATGTTGATAGTTGTTTCAGATTATCGCATATTACAAAATGAGTATTACAAATATTTACAATTCATATTTTGATAACTATATCACATTAGCATAATTACCAATAAAAACAAAAAAACTAAAAGTTGAATATTTAGAATATAAATAAAGCACTGATAAAAGTTTAAAAAAATTAAAACACAGTCCTAAAGAAACTGCACAATCACAAGTAAAATGTAATTAACACATTGTAAATTCAGAGCTACGAAATGTTGACATTTCATCCAAGTTTCAGTTACAATTTAGTTGGTGATAAGCTTAAATTACTATCTAAATAACATTTTGAATACTTTTGGCCGTCTTTTACGTATTCATCTAATCATTAATAATTGCGTTTATCACAGCGACAGCCTGATTTGCATCTCATACACAGCTCGGCTCTGTAGGCTTTACAGTCACGGTCAAGTTGGCACCTTAAAGTAGCTAAGTCTCTAACTCAATATCATCCAAAATCTTCGACATTGAAAACACGATTTATTTGTCGGTTTAAATCAACGTTGA